AGACCTGACGATGTGCTATGCACGAAACAGTTGTCTCATTTTCTTGGCCCTATTTTGAATACAATTATTAGCATGAGGCTTAGGGTTTTCATTGCATTTATATATACGTTGAATGAACTATAATTTGATCTTAAAAGGTCAACTTGAAAATTTGACCACAGGTCAAGGTCATGACCTGACCGGAAAAGGTCATGTTGCATATCAGTCGATGCGGCTCGGCAAGACAAACACAATGAGGCCATCCCCAGCGTTTTATCTCTTTCCAATCGAGAGTTATTGGCAAAAATCTGTTTGTTGCCTCAAATGACCTCGGATGACCTTTCTAGAGGCTATCAGCAAAAAAGACACCTTGGTCGTCACGGGTGGTCCAAATCATTGTGATTCTGAAATATTTGGACTGTTCCTATGCGTACACACGGATCTAGAGGCATTTTCGTTTTTCTCTATTGACTTATAATGGAAAGGTCACGCCACTGACCTGAACTTAGGTCACGGATATAAAAAATCCGAGATATACAAGTTATAGGCGCCTATAACATCATGCAATCCACCAAGTTTAAAACCTCTCTGACAAACACTGCAGGCTGGACATGATTGCAGACTTTTTTAGGCTTGGTCAGTTAACTTGACCTGGTGACCTCAGCTGACATGACCTGGGGTCAAAAATTTCATACATTTCCAAGCGGCGCGGTTTTTTACTCACAGGCAAAAAACGCGACAGGATGGTAAATAACATATACCCCCCCCCCCCCTGTGGCGAAGGTTAACTAGGAACGAGGCGGATCACTTGGACGTATTCCGGAGCCGAATAGTTTGTTTTAGAGCCAATACCTGGGAAACCCTTGTGAGAATTATTCACCGTCTTCCACTCCTCACATCCTTTCTATGCATATTTCCTAACCTTGATTCCACACCAGCGCCACCTATGCCAAATTTGCCAATTTAGTCTCGCTTGGTAGCCGCTAGATGGCAGGAAGTGTGGCTCTAACCGCATCGGTCGTAGAAGTGCGTGCCGACTCGACCATGAAAACCGTTGTCACGTGACTGGCACGATGAATCCCCAAAGTTTGTTCAGCTGTTTAAATGAGCTGCGCGGGAGGGTGCGGCACTGAAAAAGTGGCAGATAGATACTGGAATCCCGGGCAGGGTTACAGACTAGAAGTCGTGGTTGTTAAACGCTGTGTGACACACAAGAACCAGCAAACTCAAGAATATTGACGATACTGATATCAACCCGATCAAGAAGCCATACTAAAGGTTTACTTTGAGCGTAAAGCCACTGAGTTTTACAAGGATTTGGACACGAGGACAAGAATTACTGAGTTTTGTACAAACATTCAAGAAGTGCATACCAAGGTAAGCGAGACTAATCAAATTGGCTATCACTGTGGCATAATAATTTCCATTCATTCAAAAATCCTTACACCCTATCCGCCCAATGAGAGTTTTGAGTCTACATGCCCAAATTAACGTTGAGCGCGACCGTTTCCGGTCCGTTTTCCGCGACCTTTTGGCGAAATTGTCTTATTTATTCAACCAGGGTGGACTAATTCAATTAACTAGGAATAAGGCATTAAAGAGAATTATTCAAGGAATAGAGTTGTGCAATTTTTTTTGGTATTGTTACAACGGTATCCACCCTCGAGCGATAAATATTGTTGACGCATCAGAAACACATCCCGTGGAATGTGTTTGGAATGGGTTGGATCTAATATTAGCTAGTATTTGCTAATGCAGCTTCTTGGCTTGCACAGTACCTATGCACACAAATATACATGCTTCCTGCCCTTGGATTTTTCCTCACTTGAATGACAATTTTGCTATAATAACTATTCCCAGCAGTTGACAGGTTTTAGTGCAATGCAAAGTCGGAACCGTCCCGCGCCGGCAGTCTCCCAGGCGGCGCGTAACGGCCGCCGCGCCGCCGCTCTGGCAGGGTAATTGACTTTATACCCCTGTTAGAAAAGTTGTGGACCGATTTACTTGATTCTTGCATGACAAGATCCGCCATTCAATTCTTAGCAGGTACCAAAAATTTGACGTCAATTGCACGATCCGCCACCCATATTGCGGTTCTGCCATCTGTTGGGGCGTTCCACGACAAATCAACAAATAAAAAACAAATTTGCACCCTCATATTTTATTCTTCGTTGAAAACTGGTGTAAGTGGTTTTGATGGGCGGGGAAGCCAGCTGTGGCAAGGATTTTTCTCTTCGAACCACTGTTTCCGAGATATAGCCTCGGGCAATTCCTGGAGGTCACGCTGCAACCCTATGTTTGGCGGCTTATAACTCAGAAACTATTGGTTTTCTATGATAAAACTTTATATGGTTCAACTCACAATCAACCAACAAACATTTTGGCTATCTCATATTTTCAATTTTTGAAAACTTTGATCACGTGACCTTTTGACCTATTTTTTCGAAGAGTGACCTTGATATTTTCCCCACTGAAAGTTAAAATTTTGTCTCATGACGATTAAAGCCTTATCAATTGTCATTCATATGCAATAATAAAAAAGTGGTTATCGCCCTGCGTTGACCTCAGGTCAGGTCATCTTTATGACCTGTTCATTATTACGAGCGGGAGCGTCAGCGAGATCTCGAGAACACAGCAAGATAGAGACAAGCGGTAAACGGTACAGGGTACACACGGATAAGGTCTATAATTTTTACATAGGTCATTTTCAGGTCAGGTCAAAGATGACGTCACAGGAGCAAAAAGGAAGTCAAAATAGCGGCACTACATACATACATTATATATATATATATATATATATATATATATATATATATATATATATATATATATATATATATATATATATATATATATATATATATATATATATATATATATATATATATATATATATATATATATATATATATATATATATATATGAAGTTTTCCTCGAATAACTTTCAAGGTATCCCAGCTAAGAACAACCTAATAGCACCATCGTGATCCTCTCGTCGATCCGCATCGAAGCATATGTATGTAGACCTCAAAAAGTCGAAAGGTCAAAAGTTGACCTTAGGTCACGTGACCTAAGGAAAGCGATATTTCAATATTTCTTCTAAATATTGGTATGTATGTGCATATAGACCACCTCTCTGAAATATGTTCCGTTTTTTTTTCTTCGATACACTCAAAATTTTGGATTTTATAATGATTATCCCAAGTCATTTTCAGTGAAAAAAAAATTGGGCCAAAGTCCAAAATTTTCAGAAACCGAAATAGCCATTTGATTGAAAAAGTTGAATCACGTATAACCTTTTTGTTACGTCATGATTCCTTTAAAAATGAAGATATTAGCGGCTTTTAAAGTTTTGGAGGGGAAAATGGTGTGACATGACGTCACTTAAACGTCATTTTCTCAAAAATTTCCGACGGATGTCGCTCAAATTTTCAGGGAACGTGTTAAATTCATGTATGATAAGGTAGGTACTGAAAGTTTGACGTCGCTTGCGTAACGCGTTTAGAAGTTATTGGCGAAAAGCGGGGGGGGGGGCAGATTCTGCCCCCAGCGGGGTGCGGTTTAAGGCACCTCACGAACCACGGCAAATTAGTCGACTAATATGCGACAAAACCATTGACTAATGACTGACTAATGAATAACAAACAATTTGTTTGACTGATTTTTGACTGCCAAAAAGCGCTTGACTAACGTTTGTCGACTAATTTTTGACAAATGGCTAATACCTATTCATTTCCACCTCTAGGCACAGACATTCTTACAAAAGGTTCAAAACTACCAGAGGTTATTAAGTAAAAAGTGTCTCACTTCACCCCGCCTTACGGTACAACAATGACAACAGCAGGTCGTGACCTGGCCTAGACAGCGTTCGGGGGGGGGGGGAGGTAGCCAGAATCAGAGTTTTGTCGATACCAGGGCCGATACTAGGTAGGTATGCAGTGGTCAGACAAACGAATAGCATGAGGCTTGTGTCCTACCTGGCTCATGCATACCACAACTATATGTACGGACCTTTCACACAAAATGAAGGTGGAAACGGGCAGGAGTGAGCCGGGAATGACGAGGTTCGCTAGGTGGATTGTAAATTTATGTTAGTAGCGCGTACCGTCTTGGTGATTTCATGTGAAGCGTAGTTTGGTAGTAATTTCACAATTGACTGTAAAAAATGCAAATATGTAGAAGTCGTGTTTATTTGCCCGTTGGTCACAATTATTGCCAACTAAATATTGGGTGTAAATATTGCACCAAAAAAATTTAAAAAAATTGGGTGGATATTGATTGCCATAGTAACTCATTATCCAAAATTCATGAAAATTGAGCAACTTTTAAAGCCTTGGGCTTTAATGGGTAAATAATTTCCCGAGCTTTTGTAATTTTGACAAAAATGCAAAACAAAAATTAAGAACATCCGAGATAGCAGTTTTGTAACGCTATCTCTTCTCTATGTACATTGTACATGGCTACGTAAATAACTTTGAAATTGCTCGTAAACTGTCGCTTTGTGAGCGTTTCAAGGTTTCATGATTTTAGGTAATTTGTGCGCGATTTTGACCTCAGTTTGACCTCAATAATTCCTGACTAAAGATGACCTATGACTTGAGCTTTTGTGTGAAGGTATCAAATTTATGTCTCAGAAGGTACTGAAAATTTGGCTGCGCTGCGCGCCACCATTTTTCGCCATTCAAGAAAAACCACAGGGGAGGGGGGCAAATCCCCCATCAGGGCGCGGAATAACACTTCGCATTTCCCTTCCCCCCTTGATCTGTAGTTAGGGCATGGAAATCCAGGAGGGGCGCGGCTCACTCTAAATATTTGGAACGCCTTGTTCCTCAATCGTCATTCGCTTTATCGGTTTCTTCGGAAAACTGAAGGATTTAAAATGAATTGAGATTTTCCGAGTAGGCTTTACGTTGAGTTATCTCGTGATGTGCTGGATACTGCAATTGCATGTCATGTGCAGGTAGCCCGATTCCCTAGTCCCTACATCCGTGCATCTTTCAGCGTTTCACTTTGTTCGCAGGAGGACGAGAAGCTGTGCTCCTTCGGCGTCGGAGTGGTGTCCGACCTGCGCAGAAGGGCTGGCTTCTATCTGCAGGTATGTCGCCCCGCAACATGGCTTCACTTCGTTACATAACTAGGGTGCGTTAAAAGTTCTTATATATTCCGTCTATACGATAAAACTTGGAATATTTCCAAAACAATTCCAAATATCGGGTTGCTGAGAACGACCTTGCCTTCCTAGTTCCTGTATCCTTCCCTGAGGCGTATATTAGCTGAGGAGCTGATTTTGACCCAGAGGGTGACGAGCCTGAGTCATCGCTTGACGTTTACCCAGTGATTGGCGCATGAACCACGGCCAAAACATGACGGTCAAGCTTTTAGTTTGGAGGTGCGTAGTCACGTTAATGGCATGCACAATAGTGGCAACTCACAAAGGGACGTTGCCTCCAGAGGTGCACAAACCTTCCTACTTGCCTACAATGTAGGAGACAGGAAAGAGCCGTCGAGGGTAGCCGCGAGACAGATTTCAGTTTGTGTTTTCTGTACAAAAATGACTATAAAAACAGTTAACTGGTAGCAATTGGTCGGTACAATCAGCTGTCAACGACATTTGGTCATTACATTTCTTTACGTGTCTTCAAAAACAGTTCCTACAAATCTCCTCCATGAGACACCCACGAGACAGTTCCCATTGGATTAACATTGTGTCTCATGAGACACCGTGTAGGTAAAATGTAGGAAGAAAAACTGCGAAAGTGGTGGGCAGGTTTCGAAAAACGGCGCACAAATTCTTGGGGCGCCTATCAGTTAAAACAAAACTCCTGTTCGAAAATGGGTTCTGGTAAAGTTTCGTCAGCTGGTTTCCATAGCAACCGTCATTCGTGGGACAAGCTGAAGCTATTTGCTAGCGCGTTGCGTGGTAACCAGCTATCGGTGTCAGTTGAATTTGAAAGATAATTGTAACAGTGAACAGCTCGCTTCAGTTGCTGTACTGTGCTGTGGATGTGTGTCTTGTGCAGTGTAAGCAAAGTGTATAAGGACTTTCACATTACATTTTGTGATGGTGTGGTAATAGAAGGTTGTGAGCTCCAAGTGGAGTTAAGGAATTGCCAAAGAAATGAAAACTCTGCATGGGCCGGAAATCTGCAGCCTGCACTTCTATAAACTCTTCGTAAGAGGTTCGTGGCAGGGGGCATTCTGGGGAGCGATTATGGAGGTGCTGGTAAGTAGGTAGGTACCCAACCTAATTGGCTTGATGAGAACTGAATCTGAAAGTCAACTGAATTGTGAAATTGCTTTACCTATCCTATCTGATCACTTCTACTTATTTTATTTTTTTAAGTTTCCATTCAATTTGATTGATGAAGAGCAACATTGAAAGATCCTAGCATGCAGGTGACTACCTACCTAGCTCTAATGTAAATAGGTAATAATTTCCTTCAAAAGAATATATGGCTCTTCAATGTACTGGAGATTTAGTAATTGAAGGCATCTCACTTCATTTTGAACATTACCTAGGTATAACTTCCCTAAACTGCATGACAAATTTTCAATTTCCTTGTTGTAACACCAATACCACAAACATTCATCTGGGCACAAGGCTCACAACATCAAATTATTCATGTTTTATAGACAGGTACCTACCTATACAGCAAAAATGCAACAGAGATATGTGATTATTTTCAACATAGGCTTTGTGTTCAGTTGTGTATATAATAATTTTATGGGTGGAAAATGTGTCATGAATTGTCTACAGGTCTGTGTAGAATTGTCTTAATATGATTATAGAAAAAGGAATGGTCAGTTAAGTAGTCAACATGTTTACTCAATAACAAGATATGCTGGCATGGAGTTTGCTCATGAGTTTGCTCAAAAACCTTTCAGTTATTGTGAGAAGCATAGCAATTTGAAGCATATGCCTATAAAACTGATTTGTAATGGGGTTTGTGAAGTTCTCCATAAATTTCACACATAGCAATATACCTATACCTAATGCATTGCATTATTTTAAAAAGAGGGAGACCATACAAGTTGTCAGGTAGGTAGGCTTTGACATTGATTTCAAGATTTCAAGGTGATCTGTGCTTTTTGCTTATAACTTGTCCTTATTCTCTGACTAAAGGAGTGGCAATACAATCTAACTTGTTCTATTTTCCTCTTGCCTTGCCATTTTTGACATAATCCTTGCCCAGGCTATATGTTGGTATGATGAAGGTCAATCAGATGACATACCTATTTCAAATATTACAGTCATGATTTCAGTTGAATTTGCCTAACTTATTTAAACAATATAAGATTACACCTTGCATAGCTATAACAGCAATATTTGAGCCACCACTGGCATAGAAATTAATAGGTTGCAAAACATTACTCAGCAAGAAGAAATCAGTCATTGACGGTGGAGAAAACACATCTAGACTTGACAACAAATTACAATTGATTATTCTTCTACCATTCATGTTGGCATAAGCAATAATTCAAATGGATACTTAGTGCATTTTTCTAAAGATTTTAAGCACATGAGATCCATACAAAGGCACAGACTCAGAACAAAGCCTGTGTTATAACTTATAAACAAGGATATTGCACCTTTTGGTATTTTAACATGTTGTTATATTCCGACATCCTAAGAAAAATAATATGGTAATCTGCCCTGCTTCATTTGATACGTATCGATGAGTAATTGGATGTTGCGGGAAAGCAGTTAGTTTTCCGGCAGTTGTCTCCAGCAGCGACAAAATGGCCGCTTACTTTCTGTCAAACATTTGCTTTCATATGGCTAAGTACTTACATTAATTTCACTTAGTCTAACTTTGTCTAGCAAATCTCCAGTTTTACTTCGGAAAAACCGGCAGCGTGTTCCACATTGGTGACCCCGCCAGGCGAGGCAGTTCCGTCGGCCAAGATGTCCTTCGGTCATATAACCCCCAATAAAACTAGCGCGTCGAACGATCGGCAGCATGGATGGTCTCACACCATCCATGGCAGGGACCGACCTCACAGAGCCACGCAGAAAACAGGAATATCGGATTTATCTGCCTCTAAACTGTAATGTATGACTATGAATGCGTCTTGAAAATTTTACAAGACAGTTGAGGTTTGCTCAGCAAGAAAAAAGAAACCAGGATCTGTATTAGCGAAGAGATTAGCGATGCACGTGAAATGTGTATAGATTGCAGTATAGATGTAGTCAGCGATGGATTATAAAAGGATTTAAAGCCGCTTCTTAAAGCCTACAGTCAAAACGTTTGACTGTAGGCGTTCAGAAACTATCGATTCTGAACGTTTGTGGTCCTCAATATGATAGGTATTCCATAGCAATTTAATGGGCTTCGTCCCATTAGCAAATATTGCAAAATCGTCCTCAAATAATGTTTTCTTACCTAAATGTTGATCCAGGAAAAACCTTGTTACTCACTCCTTAACCCGCGCCCTGCTGGGGGGGGGGGGTGTTTGAACACCCCCCCCCTGTGGTTTTTCGCGAATATCTCAAAAACGGCGGCGCGGAGCGCCGCCGTTTTTGGTACACCTTATCATACATCAATTCTACACATGTTGTGAAAATTTCAGACCAAGGTCATTCAAGGTCAGGTCACCAGGTCACTCGAAGTGACCTCACCTCATAAAAAGTTTCAATGTCTGTCATAGCTACACCGAGTGACCGATCGCTTTGAAACTTTCAGCGATTGCTAAGAGCATTAGCATGTACAAAATGTATATCTCAGAATTTTGATATCGATGACCTAAGGTCAGGTCAATTTTGCGACCTCACCATTATAAGTCAATGGGAGAAAATTGAAATGCGCCTGTTTTGGACGAAAGACATTATAAACACTCCCAAACACTGAATTACAAGTGGTTTAGACACACTGAACATGAAAATGGTGTCTGTGACCCCTGTTTATGCCCTGAGGTCATCTTAGGTCACGAATGGTATCTAACAGTTTTTCGCAAATAACTTTTGATAGAGGCATGCTAGAGCGATGAAAACGCCTTAGATGTGTTCAGCTCGACGATACGGATCGACTGATATGCAACATGACCCTTTCCGGTCAGGTCATGACCTTGACCTGAGGTCAAATTTTCAAGTTGACCTTTCAAGGTCAAATTATAGTTCGTTCGATGCGTCTTGACGAGAGGAACACGATGCCGGTAAAAGTAAGCTCGTACAATGCTTGGGTCAAAAGTTATTGCGGAAAAACTGTTTCCGAAAAAATCGGCTATTTTTGCAGTTTTTGCCCCCTGCAGGCAAAACCGTTGACGTTAGGTCAAATCTGAGAAAATTACTCAGAAAGGGCGTTAATAGGGCTATCGAAGGCGCTTTTCCGCGGCGCTGTAGCTCTATTGGTTCCCGAGTTATGCGTTGGCTTCTTGGAAATTTTCGACATTCGACCTGGAAATCGGCGAAAATTTGCCTTCAATGACCTCTGGTGACCTGACCTTTGACCTGACCAAAAAATTGACCGAAGTGATTTCCTCATTATTTTTGACGCTCTTTCGAACGCCGCCTTCCGCGTATCGCTACGTGGCCCAGGAGCCGAGTTAGAAGGGGGGGTGTTCAAACACCCCCCCCCAGCAGGGCGTGGAAATCCAGGACCCCCAGCCGGGCGCGGGTTAAAGTTTCTTATTCCTAAACAGAAACACTGATGTGCACCGCACACTGCAGCGTTACGTCACTTCACCTTCAGCCCGCCAAGTAGTAACTGCCCCACTAAACGGGAGAGGGACGCTATGGGACGGCAGATGGACGCCCGTCTGGTCCATGTGGAACTGAACCCTCATTGGATGAGAGGAATTAATTGAGCGTCCCGATGGTTTTATGAGGGTAGTTCTTGACTTTCCAGTGTTTCCATTGCCCAAAGCAGCGCATACCGTTTGTCTTCGGCTTCTTAAAAAATGACGATATATCTGCGGATAGCTTCAGAAATAAAAACACTTCAGGAATAGCGTTTACGTCCTGTAAATATGAATAACTGTAATGTAAATAACCAGCTTTACTTGAAAGTATAGATATGTTGGGATATACCTAAGGATGATAGGTGAGACAAACCGGAGCCATCTGAGACCGTGTAGGAGACAGGCTGGGCTATTTGT